CTCCTCTCGGGGATCCTGGTGCTCATCCCGGTCTGCTGGACTGCGCATGCGATCATCCAGGACTTCTACAACCCCCTGGTGGCCGAGGCCCTCAAGCGGGAGCTGGGGGCCTCCCTCTACCTGGGCTGGGCCGCTGCTGCCCTGCTCATGCTGGGGGGGGGGCCTCCTCTGCTGCACGTGCCCTCCACCCCAGATCGACCGGCCCCGAGGACCGAGGCTGGGTTACTCCATCCCCTCCCGCTCAGGTGCATCTGGGCTGGACAAGAGGGACTACGTATGAGGTGGAAAGTGTCCCTGGAAGTCTGCTGCTCAGAGCCTTCACCTTGTGCAGGATGCCCTGCTCTGACCCTTGCCACCGACTGCTAACCCCTGCCCTGGGGCAAAACCCATTTTCCAGACGCTCCAATTGGGCCTGGCTGAGTCCAGAACCTCTTCAGTGGGGTCCCCGCGAGCCCTTCTGCTACCTCCACCCAGGCCGAGCCAGAGCTGATGGGTGTGCTGGCCTGCCCCTGCCTCTCCCGGACAATTGCTTCCTTCTGCGGTCCACAACTTAGTCTGGCCGTCTTCTTCCTGAGGCCACTCCTGTCCCAGGAGGCCGGGCTTCACCCAAAAGGCAGCAGGTCCTTGGCTCCAAAATAAGGAGGGGACCCCTGCCTGCAGTGGGTCCTCTCCAGCTTGGCCACCACCTGCATCCAGAGGTCCAGGCCAGGAGGCACAGTCTGTCACCCAACCTTCTATGCCCACCTGCTAGCTGGGAATAAACAGAATTTGTACCTTGGCTCTTCTGATCTGTGGTTGGGCAGGGAAGACCAGGCGGCCTTCCCTGGGGCTGTCAGTCCCAGGCCTGCTCCAAGACCTGTCCAGTGTGGACCCTCACTTGCCATGTGAGGCACAAGGATAAGGAAGGTGAGCCCCTTGGTGCTCCCCTCCTCCCCCTGCCAGGCTGGCCCCCAGCAGACCCCCAGCAACACCCAAGGCAAGCAACAAAATAAGACATGGTTTATTTAGGAAAAACTGGTGAGTGTGTATGGGGGGAGGTGTGGCAGAAGTGTGCAGGGGTTGAAGGCGAGAGGATCGGGGTGGGGGGGGTCTACAGCACAGCCAGGACAGGACTCGGGACTCAAGATGGAGGAGCCAGAGGTCAGAAGACTTGGAGGCGGGCAGTTCTTTGGTGATTTATCATCCCTGAGGCTCAAGAGCCCGCAGGGGTTCCAGAGGCCTGACCGGTAAGGAGGGACTCAGGGACAGGCTGAAAGCACCTCAACAGCAGGCAGCCTTATGTTGGCTCACAGCTCCGGGTTGGCCTCCCAGATGGGGATGTCCAGGGTGGAGAAAGATCTAGAATCTGTGAAGTATCACCTCCTTGGCTCCATCATCCAGAGGTGAGAAATACCGACAGCAGAGCCCAGGAGAGACTTGGGTTCCTTGGTTAGGTTTTCAAATGAACTTTAAAAATTTCCCTCCTCCAAAAAGCAAAAAAGATAAAAACAGCCCCCAAGCTGTCTGGATTACCATCTCCATGTCTCCAGCTCAGGGGGCTAGGCTCCACTGTCGAGGGAGTCTCCACTCCCCTAACAGATTTAGACATAATTCTTAGTGGGGTACTCAGGGGCCCCCTGAGAGGTGGCATGTGCGGCTGATGCTGAGTATCGGGCCATATAATGGTTCGAGCCCCGGGACCCCCCAGAGGGGCAGGTACAGCACAGCAGCCCCCCGCCCAGCAACAAAAGACCAGAGGCCGCCCAGCCCAAGTAGAGGGAGGCCCCCAGCTCCCGCTTTTGGGCGTCCGACACCAGGGGGTTGTAGAAGTCCCGGATGATGGCGTGAGCCGTCCAGCAGATGGGGATGAGGATCAGGACCCCTGAGATGACAAAGATGATCCCAGAGACTAGCACCAGACGGGCTTTGGAGTCCTTGTCCTCCACGCAGGTGGTGCACTTGGCTCCCGCGAGGTAGACCAGCAGCCCGAGCAGGGCCATGAGGAGGGCGACGACGCAGAGGGCGCGGGCGGCCTGCAGGTCCTGGGGCAGCGCCAGCAGGGAGTCGTACACCTTGCACTGCATCTGGCCTGTGCTCTGCACCACGCAGGACATCCACAGCCCCTCCCACACCACCTGGGCCACCACGATGCTGTTGCCGATGAAGGCGGTCACTTTCCACAGGGGCAGGGCACAGGACACCAGAGCATTCACCCAGCCAAGCAGTGTCAGGATGATCCCCAGGATTTGCAGACCAGCGGAAGCCATGGCAAAGTTGAAGTTGAGAGGAGCTGCACTGGGGGACAGAAGCAGACTAATGTGAAGACAGGCTGGTCCAGACCCTTTGTTCCCAATGAGCTCTAGCCACCACACAGGGCAGCGAGAGTATGAACCCAGGGAGTCAGTACACCATGGACAGGGAACTCCTCCCAAGCCTCATTTTGTCATGGGCAAAACGAACACTTGATGTCTGAGCATGTAATTTTTTCCTTGATTATGTGATTGTCTTGACTTAACAAGAGCGAGTAAGTAAGCGACCCAGTCCTGGCTGCTGAGTGCAAATGAGACATAAAGCCTATACTGATGCTAGTCTACCGCCCCAGCTACTTTGCATACATTTTATCAGACAGCAAAGTAGCAAAAACAAACAAAACAAAACCAGACGGCAATTTCCAGATGGCCTCCTTGGGGCACACAGATGGTGGGTTGGCTCTAGCCATGAGTTTCAAGCTCAAAACCTGTCAGTTTCAACATCAAGATTAGAGATCCAAGCTTCCTCCCACCACCCAATAGCAGTGTCCAAACCCCTCACCCCAACCTGGTTCCATACCCCCAGGAGGGTAATGACATTTGTATCTCAGGTGGTCCTTCATCTGTGGCCTTGCCTGGCCCTACTTGGCCCAGCCCAGCAGCAGTCAAACTCCAGAGGGCAGGAGAAATGAAGAAGAAAAAAAAAATACCACCTTCTCACCCAAAAGCACTTCTTCTTCATGGCTACCTGCTGCCCCACTGGGTCCTGCTCTTCTGCCCTCCCTTAGGGTCACACTGAACATACCTCCAAGGTTGGGGACATTTTCTTGTGCCTTCTTGCTCAAAATGCCAACCTCTCAGGACTCAATTCCCCTAAAAGGACCTAAACCCTTGGAGTGTGTCCAGTGAACCGGCCCCTCAACAGCAGCTCCGGCCCCTCACTTGTCTCCCTTCACATCCCACTTAGTGTTGTGGCTCGCTTCGGGGGTCAGTTCTGTTCGGGGTCCTGTTGGTGCTCTCCATTACCCAAAGTTCCCGCACACGATCTGGACCTGAATTTAGCACCAGCCCCAGTAGCGTGGCCAGAGGACAGACCGTGCACTCCTCATTTGCATCCCGCCCATACCTGGCGGCGCTAAAGACCTCAGGGGAGATCGGACCGGACCGCCCAGCCCGCGCTCATCCCAACGCCGGTGTCGGCCCTCCACGCCTCTAGTCGTGTTAGCGCCGGCCCAGGCACCCGGCACCTCTCCGCTCCAAGATCCTACCCCTGCCCTCGACCACTTCTCTTTCCGCACACCACGGGGCCGGCTTGGTCCGAGGGCGCCCCCTCCTGCTTTCGATCCCTAGTTCCCTTCTGAGTCCGGCCCGAAGAAGGGTCCGCAGGCCCCCGGCCTGTGAGCCGCGCTGCGGGAAGGGCTTAATGGCGGCGGTATCAGCAGGGTCCGCTCCGGTAGATTAGGGGGAGGGGAGCCCCGCCCCAGAGAGCAGCGCAGGTGGGGGAAGGGCGCCCGGGTTTCGGTGCCTTTGTCCCGGGGGAGGGGGAGGGGCGTTTGACCCTTCCGCGGCTGCAGAAGGACCTGATCAGCTCTCCGCGGCTTCGGTGCAGACCCCCGCCCAGGGGCTGTGCCCCGGTGGCCCCCCCCCACCCAGGTGAGTCCAAGTTCTCTAGACGCACCCCCACCCACGCCGCCACGCCCCCTGCACCCCACTCCTCGTGGAGTCCGCCTCTTCCCCTCCAACACTGGCATTTCCCCCAGGCTCACCTGCGAAGAAGACCACAGGGCTTCGTAGGAACCGCAGAGTGTGCGGACAGGGGCGGAGGCGGGGGTCTTAAATAGGCTGTGACGTCACTGGACCACCGCCCCGGGGAGGGGCAGAGACCCCATTCCAGGCCGCGGGCGCGCAAATCCCAACCTCGTCAGCTGGGGTCGCTCGAGCCTGGGGCCGCTGCTCCCGCATGTGGCCCGGGCGCTGGGACCTCAGCTGGCTAACGCTGGCCCTCAGTGGGTCAGGGCACAGGGCATTGGGCCAGAGCTTGACTCCTGACTCCGCTACTTACTAGTGCTGTGACCCTGGGAACTCACCTAACCTTCCCAACCTTCAGTTTCATACTCGGAACAATCGGAGACAACAAGCCCACATTTTACTGTGTAGCTATGTCCTAAGGAAGAAATTAAAGACTTATTATTATTATTTGTTATGTCGTTATCATTATATCCCGGGGCCCTTAAGAAAACTGCAGTTATTTTTTTTTTACATTTTATTTTATTATGTTAGTCACCATACATCATTCGTTTTTGATGTAGTGATCCACGATTCGTTGTTTTCGTATAACACCCAGTGCTCCATGCAGTACGTGCCCTCCTTAATACCCATCACCGGGCTAGCCCATCCCCCCACCCCCCCTCCCCTCTAAAACCCTCAGTTTGTTTCTCAGAGTCCATAGTCTCTCATGGTTCATCTCTCCCTCCGATTTCCCCTCCTTCTTTTTCCCTTCGGAAAGCTGCAGCTGCAGTTATCTTTGAGATGGGTTGTTCGTGTCTGATTCCCACCCCCAACTTCCCGGACTTCAGCATCCACAGGACAGGGCCAGGTCTGCGTCCCTGCGGGGTCCCAGCCGCTGGCGCACCGAGTTTGTGCTTGTTGAGCGAATGACTGAACTTAGCGGGCCAGGCGGGGCGGGGCGTTCAAGAGCCGGTGGCGGGGCGGGCCGAGCCGAGGGAGCCGCCCCGGAAGGCGGGGGCGGAGGCGGGGCCGCCGCTGTCCGCCCCGGCCCGCGCGCGGCAGGCTCAGACGGCCACGGCCGCGGGACGCGCACAATGGTTCCCGGTCCACTGCGTCCGCTGCCGCGGCTCCTCGTGCTAGGGCTCGGGCTGGCGCTGCTGGGCGCGGCTGTCGGGGAGCGAGTGCCAGGTACGCCGGGCGCGGGGCCCGGGCTGGGCGGGAGGCCGCGGGGGCCCGGGGAGCCTCTCGCCGGGGATCGGGGAGCCGGCATTGGGGACCCAGAGAACGGGGCCGAACTAGGGGGAACTAGGCGGACACGGGGATTCGGGGTTAGGTGGTTTCCAGACACCGCGCTCCCTGGCCGGGAGAGGTTCATCCCGCTCCGAACTTCATCCGCAGTCCCGGCCTCAGTTTCCCCCCTGTTCAAATGGAGGGGCGGCTTTTGTCCTAATAAGTCCAGACTCGGAAGTGGAGGGAGAAAGTTTGAGGGCGGGATGTCTCGTTCGGTGAGAAGGCACGCCCCCATCCTGTTCAGTACCTAGTCTGTCTGGCCGCAGTGACCGAAGAGTCTCGGGGGGGGTGGTATCGAGGGCACGGGGGTCTGCACCCCCTATACCATGTGGGGTGCCCCCTTCCATCCGGTGACTTCAGTGCCCAGCTATGCGGGGGGAGGGACTGGGGTCGGGCCCGGTGCCCAGGAGTGAGTCACCCGCCGGCTGCGGGGGGTGGTGGTGTGGGGACCTGATACCCCCCCCCCCACAGCGTCCCGCGCTAGGCCCCCCTTTCCCCCACGCTGCTGAGTCCCGGTCGGGCCGTGCGGTCACCTGTGAGGAATGCGGGGGGAGGGCGCCGGTGACTCACGTTATTCGAGCCGGCCGACCCTGACCTCAGCCCCCAGAATAGCCGTGCCCCGCCCCAGCCTCTGACCCTCGGCCCCCTCCCCAGGCACCACCCCCTGCTCTCGCGGCAGCTCCTGGAGCGCGGACCTCGACAAGTGCATGGACTGCGCGTCGTGCCCGGCACGACCGCACAGCGACTTCTGCCTGGGCTGTGAGTGGGGTGGGGGGAGGGACCAGGGGCGAGCGGACCCCAGAGTAGGAGAGAGTTTGCGGGGGTGGAGAGGGGAGCAGTGGAATTCAGATCCGGGGAATTAATCAGGAAGGGGGGTGGGAGGTGGGGTGGGGAAGGGATCGGATCAGGGCAGGGGCCAAGGTGGGGGAAAGGCTTGGGGCTCAGTTCTAGGGGGCGGGGCTAGTACCGAGAGGGGCGAGGTCTAACTTGGAGTCCTGCCCCCAGGCGCTGCGGCCCCTCCAGCCTCCTTCCCACTGCTGTGGCCCATCTTGGGGGGTGCTCTGAGCCTAGCCCTCGTGCTGGGACTGCTTTCTGGCTTCTTGGTCTGGAGACGGTGCCGCAGGAGAGAGAAGTTTACTAGTAAGTGAGCCAGGCCCGCCTACCCCCCCCATCATTCCTCAACATCTCCCCTGCTCTTGACCACGCCTCTTCTTATCTTGCAGCCCCCATCGAAGAGACCGGCGGGGAGGGCTGTCCTGGTGTGGCACTGATCCAGTGACAGTGACAGCCCTTGCCAGCAGGAGGCCCCACCCACTCACCATTCATTCATTCATTCATTCATTCTGGAGCCAGCTCCCTCACCCGAGACACAGCCAGAGCCAGACTCTTCCAACCACAGGGGTGTGGAGGGATGGGGGACTGGTGAATCAGCTCTCCAAGGCCTGGGCCCAGGCTTCAGAGGAGCCTTCCAAGGTGTCTGACTGCCCTGTCTCGGGCTCCAGGACAGGAAAGGAGACCCACGCGGGCTCACACCAGACAGATGACACTAAGGAACCGCAGCGTTTGCACAAGGCGTCCCTCCCTCCACCCCCATGGCCTGAGGGCCAGACACCACCAGGCCCCACCCACTCAGATGTACTGAAATTCCAGCATGGGGTCTCTGTCTGGGGGGTTAGGGACCTGTTGCTAACACTAGGGGGCTGGCCCTCTAGGGGGGCTGGCCCTAAGACACTGTCCCCCCCAACCCCCAAAGGGGGGGAAATATTTATTTTGGGGAAAGAGTTTGGAAGGGAGGGAGAATTTATTAATAAAAGAATCTTTAACTTTAAATGGTTCGCAGAGTGGCATGATCCCCAGCCCAACTTCCCAGAGCTGGAGGGAGGAGTGAGTCAGCCGCGGGGGTGGGGGTGAGGCTCTGACTCACACATTCTCAATGCCTGAGCCCAGCCTGCCAGGACCTGGCCAGGCCCCTGACCGTTTTTTCCAGGGAAGATTCTGAGAAACCCCAAGCTTCCAGCGCCCCAGCCTTCCCACCTTCCTTCCCAAAGGCCTCAGGGTTCCAGACTGAAGCCTTCATTTGCTCAGCAATCTTTATTCAGTTCTGGGGGGAATGCCTCCCTTCCCATGCTCCTGTCCCTCCCACCCCAGGGCTCTGTGGGATTCAGTGTCCTCCTCTGTTGAGGGTAGGTCCTGGGACCCAGAGGCCTAGTCTGGAGAATATTCAAGACAGCTGGTCCCTCAGTGGGGATGCTGGTCTTCTCTGTTGTGGGGAAGAACGAAGGTGGGCAGAGATACTGCCCACCAGCACTCAGAGCTCCATTATCTCTCCAGCTTGGATTGCAGGGTAGTGGGGGGTGGGGGTGTCCCCTAGCCTCAGCAGCCGGAGGGCCTCAGGGATCAGGTTCCCAGGGTAGCGCCAGAGAAGCAGCTCAGAGCAAGGGCTCCTGGAAAAGGAAATAACAGCATGGGGCTGAGGCTGGCCTGGAAGAGCCACCTCCCACCAGGTCCAGGTCCCCAAGAGCTCTTGGGCTGCCAGCACCTTCCAAGGAGCCAAGATGGGAAACAACAGAGGTTGGCTAGAAGCTAAAAATAGCAGGATGAGGCAGGGCCTAGAGACGGGCTCCAAGATGGGGTGTGATCCTCCAGAAGGCCCAGACGGTGGACAGTGGATGGTGCCTACCTGAGTGGGGGCAGAGATGGGGGGAAAGCCATGGGGGGGCTGCAGTAAGGGTGGTCATTGTGCAGGCTGAGTCGAGAGAAGTGGGTGGCCATGTTCTCTTCAGAAAGGAACTGTTTTCGCAAGGGCTCCCTGGGGAGAGACAGAAGAAAGGCAGGCTGGGATATTCACATTGGTGGCAGTCCGATGGGGACCTAAGGTGACAGAGGTCTTGTTGGGAGTCCCTCCCTGCCCCCAAACTCACTGCTCCTCCTCCAGGCGCCGCTTGGTGCTCATGGGCACAGCTCCTCGGAGAGGGGAGCTGGGAAGAAAAGAAAGCCAGGTGCACCCCACCCTCTTGGCCCCATCCCCAGGATCTGCTCTCCAGTGCCTGCAGTGTAAGCCAGGAAGTCCCCAGACCACCCGTCTCAGCTGACACCTAAGTCACCCCATCTCCCAGCCTAGCCAGCAGCCTGCCTCAGAACTCTCAGCCCAGTCTCAGCTTATGCCCAAGCCCTGCCGACTCGCCCCACCGCGTGTCATCTTGCAGACCAGCCCCGAGCCCACAGCCAAAGCTCCTGGGCTCCTGGGCCAGGCCCACCCAGTGCCCTTACACACACCTCACGTCCTGGGCTCGGGGCGTCCCTGACGCGGCCCGTGGGTCGCGCTGGGCCCGACCTGGGGGCCCTCGTTCCAGGGGCTGCTGCAGGATCATTTGGGTTCGGGGTCCTGCAGGCAGAGGGTGGGATCCGGCCGAGAGGGCGGAGCCTCAGAAGGCGTGGTCCAGCGGGAGGGGCGTGGCTTTAGGCGCGCGCGCGCGGCGCCGAGGTTCTGCGCAGGCGCGGAAAACGAGCGACGCGGGGCTAGAAGGCCGGTGGGCTCGGCGAGGTGGGGGAGGGGATCTGGCGTAGCGGGGCTGCGGTGGGCGCTCCTTCTTGTTGGCGATCTTCGCGGCGCTCACGTGGGATCCTGAGACTCTGGATAATACTCGGCGGCCGCCTTCGCGCCGGGCCGGCTGGCGGTGTTGGGGCTGTGCGGTGCCCCAAAGAGGAACCCTCGCGGGCACGTCCAGACTGGTGAAGCTGCGTCGCGCTGAGCGCTCTGGGATTTGTAGTTCTCCACATGGAGCGAGCTGTGCCACACGCCGTACCGCTGGGTCAGGTGAGACGGGCGTGGTGCACGGTGCATTCTGGGGTTTGTAGTCCATGCCGGGTTCGGAAGGGGCGGCAAGGAGTCGTGTCCTGAGCTCTGTTTTGCGTGGGACTCGGACTGTGACCCGGGAGCGGGAGGGTAACACAGCAAGACCTTAGGGGCCTAACGTGAAAGTAGGGGGGGTAGGGATGAGAAGTCAGTAAGTTTTTCTGTACTGGAGTAATGGAGCCACTTTTTAAGTACTTAATATGAGGCAGCTGTATGCGAAGCTCGATACAGGAGTTCAGACACCTGTGACAGAGTCTCCCGTGAGCTCCATTTGACACTTGAGGAACCTTGGAGGCCAGGTTGGGTGCTTGCTCAAGGTCCCGATAGACGTCATGCCTCAGGTGCCCCCTTCCTCACCCTGTTCTTGGAGCAAGCCCTGGGACTCAATGGGCAGGCACCCACTTGGTGGTCCGCCTCAAAGGATGGCTGAGCGATCTGGGCAGTGAGAGGCCGGACAGGCGGCAGGGGAAGCGGGAAGGAGTGTGACTCGCAGGTCCTAAATGTCCCAGGTAGCCTCCATGCAGCCTCTCCCCACAGATGGAAGTGTTTCAGGCCCTGCAGCGGCTCCACATGACCATTTTCTCCCAGAGCGTCTCACCCTGCGGGAAGTTCCTGGCGGCTGGCAACAATTATGGGCAGATAGCCATCTTCAGGTACCCTCACCCCTGCTCCCACCACCTGGTAGCTCTAGCACTTGTGCCCCCTGGGACTGATGCCCCCTGCTTCTGACTATCAGGCTGCCCTCCCCCCTCCCTTCAGCTTGTCTGCTGCTTTGAGCTCTGAGGCCAAAGAAGAAAGTAAGAAGCCCGTGGTCACATTCCAAGGTGGGTGCAGTCATTGAGTCTGGCTTAGAGAACCCCCGAGTAGGGGAGGGGAACAGGACAGGGTCACTCAGGTTCTATATTTCCATGTAGCCCATGATGGGCCTGTCTACAGCATGGTCTCCACTGATCGACATCTGCTCAGTGCTGGGGATGGGGAGGTGAAGGCCTGGCTTTGGGCAGAGATCCTCAAGAAGGTAAGGATTGCGGAACTGGGGGACGGGCTGGGGTTCCCGGTCCCAAAGAGCCTCTGACATCATCCAGTGTTTCCCTCCATGAAGGGCTGTAAGGAGCTGTGGCGGCGTCAGCCCCCATACAGGTGAGCTAGGGCCATGTGGGCAGAAGGTACTTGGGGGTGAAGGTACTGCCTCATCAGAGCTGACCTCGCTTTCTCTCTCCCAGGACCAGCCTAGAAGTGCCTGAGATCAATGCTTTGCTTCTTGTCCCCAAGGTCTGATCCCTTTGTGACTGGGGCTCTACTCTGCCCTGTTCTTGGTCCAAACTTAAAAGCCTTTTCCCTCTTCCTGTCCTGATTCGACGTTGACTTGCGATTCCACCCTGCCTTCTTCTGTAGGAGAATTCTCTCATCCTGGCAGGGGGAGATTGTCAGTTGCATACGATGGATCTCGAGACTGGGGCTTTCACAGTGAGCAAGCCGTGGAGCTGGGGTGGTCAGGGCTGGATGGGAGTAGGGGCATTCTTCCTGGATCTCCTCCTGACAGCGGCCCTCGTCCTGCAGCGGGCCCTCCGGGGCCACACGGACTATATCCACTGCCTGGCACTGCGGGAGCGGAGCCCTGAAGTGCTTTCGGGTGGCGAGGATGGAGCTGTGAGACTTTGGGGTAAGTTGGTGTCCGGTTGGAGGGAAAGATGAGATGGTGGCGAGGGAGACTGGGGCCAGCCGGGCTCTTCTCATGGTTCTGCCCCCACAGACCTCCGCACAGCCAAGGAAGTCCAGACCATCGAGGTGTATAAGCATGAGGTGAGGGCGTGCGCCATGCCCTGTCCTCCCTTTCACCTCTCTAGGCATCCCCTGTATCTTCATCTCCTCCTCTCTTCCCGTCCTTCCCCCTAGGAGTGCTCGAGACCCCACAATGGGCGTTGGATCGGATGTTTGGCAACTGACTCTGACTGGATGGTGAGCAGGGCGAGGTGCAGAATGGGGTGACCGCTCTGGGCCCTGCCAGCTGAGGGCCTGAGCTCACAGTGGCTGGGGATCCCCACCTTTCTGCCCAGGTCTGTGGAGGCGGCCCAGCACTCACCCTCTGGCACCTCCGATCCTCCACACCCACCACCATTTTCCCCATGCGGGCGCCACAGAAACACGTCACCTTCTACCAGGACCTGGTGAGGCCCTCTATCTTGCTTCTGCCACCTTTGCCCAGTTCCCCTCTCCAGTCCTGACCCCCAACCCCCCTCCCTGTCCTCCACAGATTCTGTCTGCTGGCCAGGGCCGCTGTGTCAACCAGTGGCAGCTGAGTGGGGAGCTCAAGGCCCAGGTGCCTGGCTCCTCCCCAGGGCTGCTTAGCCTCAGTCTCAACCAGCAGCCAGCAGCACCTGAGTGCAAGGTGGGTCCTGCAAGGGGCTGCGGGGGTCCGGGGGGGCCACATGTGTGGACAGGCCAGTCACCCCCCCTCTTGCCTCCAGGTCCTGACAGCCGCAGGTAACAGCTGCCGGGTGGATGTCTTCACCAATCTGGGCTACCGCGCCTTCTCCTTGTCCTTCTGACCTCTGGCAACACCTCTTCCATCCCGGGGATTTGGAGTGCTTTTTTCTTTTTTTTAATAAATAAATTTTCAGGCTATTTTTCCATTCATGTACTTCCCAAGAATGGAGGCCAAGTCGGTGTAATGATTTTTATATATTACTCTGTTTGATCTTGATACATAAATACCCACCCCCATCTCTGCCCTGGAGCATGTCAGGCCCAGGGTGCTTAGAAAATATAGGTCTATATAAATTCAAAACTCAGCTGTGCCTCACCTGCCCCGCCACCCACCTGGGGCCCTTGGCCCCCAAAGCTGGCCCCTGCTCCCATTGAGCCTTTGCCCAGCTTCCCGGGGCAGGGAGGGCACCAGCCCCCTCTGGAAGACAATCAGGGCCCTGGTCCTACACTGGGCAGAAGAGGAAAGTGAGCCAGAGGTCATGGGCGG